CTCAGTGGTAAGGTGCTGGGAGTGAATGAGATTTGCCTTGAGATGTTGAACATCTTATTCCAGTAAACTCTGCATTAAATCTTCTGTGTAGCTGGCTGTGTTTTAGTTCTTCTTTGATTCCCATGCAAGCGGTTTAATTAATTCTCTGCTCTCTTATCTCACTTCATCTTGTCATGAGTTGTGGAGATGGTTCACTGCTTTAAAAGTAATGGCCATTTATCACTGGAGCCTTGAGATGCTACAAAACAGGACAGAATAAAACAAAAATGGTTTATTTTATACCACTGAATTTAAAAACAAAGTTTGGAGTTAACATTTTATACATGTAAATATATGACATACTTTTGCATCCACAAAATGAACTGTTCTCAAGATAAAAGACTAATCTTATGATCTCACTTTATAAGGCATTAAAACACTATTCTACTAAAGTATAAGTCAATTTATTGTTTTTTTTCTTTCCTATTTCAGACAAGTTCAACGCCTATGTGACTTTAAAGGTGCAGAATGTGAAGAGTACGACCATCACAGTCCGTGGCGACCAGCCATGTTGGGAACAAGACTTCATGTTGTGAGTATCTCCCTGCTGCTCTTAAATTTTATGAATCACTGTAGCGACTTACTATTTTTGTCATCCTTACATCAGTAATGTATTTCTTAAAATCATTCTAGTACTTTCCCCCTTCTTGCAGCTGTATTTTGCTCTTTGCAATACAACTGCAAACAGTAAGATTATTGAAAATGTATCTTATAATGTGATATGTAGAAACTTTGTACATGCAGTGATGTTTCTGCTGAAGGATTGTATGTTTTTGTAGGTTTACTTTTTGAAGGATATGACAGGCTAGTTTTCCTTTAGATTTCCTATTCAGTTCTTAAAACTAGTACCCAGGAATGAAAATGACTGACAGGCCAAATTTGTGCTAAATGAGGACAGCTGCAGCTGTGTCTTTGGAGATTTTAAAGGCTTTAGGTTTTCATTTGATAGCAACATTTAGAATATAGTACAATAAAATTGTGGGTTAATAACTCCAACTTTGTAAAGCTAAATGTTTCAGTTTTGACCAGTCTTGTCTTGGTTTCCACTTTCTTCCATTTGCCTTTTTACTATTTGGCTCACAGTTGTCACTTATTTTGGCAGCAGCAGCTTCAGCCTCTTGGGATATATTAAGACAAATGCAGCGAGAAATTGAAGCTATGGAGTGTGTGTCAGCCCTTAAATGAATCCAGGCCATGTAACCTCTGTTAGCTGACTTGCTAGCTGGCTTTAATACAGCTCACTGAAATTGAAGGGGAGCGTCAGGCGCCTGTGGGACCTCTGGCTGACTGACACAGGCTCTAAATGGGAATTTGTCGTTAGGAGCGGGTAGGATGTATTGAAAATGAAATTACATGCCAAGCTCAGATAAGTGAATGAGTCAGTGAGAGATCAAATGAATTGTCCAGCCTGGTCTGATTCAATGGGAGAGATGCAGCTGATTTAGAAAGCCCACTGTTTTTATGCTGGCTGAAGAAGTGCTGCTCCTTGTATCAGCACCCATGAGGAATTGTTTTAGCGAGAAAATATTAATAGGGATGTTGTGATGTTGTCTGTCCACCAGTTGGAGACAGGTGTAGTGTTAGGTGCTTTGGCTCAGATGGGGCAAGTGTGGAAATGTCACTTTATTACAACATGTTTTCTGACCTGTTCTTGTGTTTTTGCTCAGTCCTCCGAAGCAAAAATGTTTATAGAGATGATGCTTTATATCTTTTCACTGGGTGGACATGGTCATTGTTTAGATGTCTGTCTTTAAACTCATTCTGTTTCTCTGTCCGTTTGTCTCTCTCACTGGCACACATATACACACGCATGTCAGTTATTTGCTTTGCACTGTACGACAGATAGATCTCTCCTGCAGACTGGTCCCTGAGACAGTGATTAGAGTAAGTGGGGAAATTAACTGCACATCCACATGATGACATAAGACCTCTCCTCTTTCACATGTACTCAGACTGTTAATTTCACGTTCATCACCTCTCTCCTTTTTCAATAAAAGTGTTTCAGACAAAGAATAAATAACACCTGTCTGCTGTTTTCTCCATGCAGCAGAGGTTGAGAAGTATGAATTTTATACTCAGCTTTTACTGTGATAAAGTGATTGTTAGAACTCATTATCACCTAGTGCAATATGACTGTAATGATTGGAAAGAAATGATGATGATTATATATAAAATAATCTCTACCTCATGTCTTAAGCTCTCCTTAACTCCCAGGTCTCATTAACAGCAGTCAGACTCACTGAGGGGTTGAAATACCACTAGGTTTGAAGTAGGAATTGGACCTGAATTTCTTTTCCCACAATGAAAGATCTCAACAAGAGCAGTGAGACAGACATGTTTGTTATAGGGCCAGCTCAAGTGCGGGCTTGGACTGGACTAGAGAAAGAGTTTTAATGAATTGGTGTAAAGGACAAAGTCACAGCATAACACAGAAGGTGAGACAGGTGAGGGTACAGCGGCCTACCCTGAAAGAAAAGGAGGAAGTCATTATAAAGCAAGTTATTTGTGCTGTAGGAGTTAAGATTCATGCTTTTCTTTTCGCCAGAATTCAATTTATTTTAGTGTATTGCTCTTCTATTGGTGCACCTAACATGTTACATATAGCAGGGAATATTTCTAAGACAAGGGCGAGCACATGGAAGGAGCAAGCAACCATTAAAAACCTAAAACTTGTATTTATTTGGGCCCTTTTTGATAAATGTATTTAAAAAATCAAATATAATTTAGAGCAGTTTGAAAGTAGTTGAGGAATTTAGAGTCATATACTGAAATGTCGTTTTCAATGGTAACAGACTGTAATGCATCACAAACATAAAGCCTGCAAACGAGACACAATCCAAACGTGGCGGTGTTGCTCAGGCACAGCGGGGAGGTGACCTCCTCCCAGCTGGCCTTGCCAGATGTGCAGTCTGACCCTGGACCCATCTGGGACTCAACCAGACCAGTCACATCTGTAAAAGAGCAGGTGGTTTAATTTTCTAATATGTTCCCTTTGGAATTATATACAGCTGGGGATTTAAGATGGAGGTTATATAATTCCTTGGCTTAGTGGTCAGTGGTGGGCTATGATGGAGTGTGCTAGAGTCCCAAGTTTGTTTGGTTTGATTTACTGTATTGTATGTGTGTGTATGAAGCCACCTCCTCCTGGTCAGGTGGAGGCTTCCTTACTGTGGCATGCTGTCAGTGAGACTCGGACACAGACACAGCTGGATGGAGAGCGTTTTCATTTTGAGTCAGAGAGGACTTTGGACTTTGGTTTGTGCTCACCCATCCCGGCAAGTCTTATCCTTCTGCCCAGAAATAAAGAAAAGCAGAGAACAGTAACAGCATTCCCGGCTGCTCTCAGAGCTCCTGTCAAACAATCTCTCCCCTGCTGATAGCACTCCCTCTTTCCTTCTGACTGTTAGCAGCTGGCTGTTAACCTTCCTCAAATCCTGATTGTTCCAGCTGCAGCCATCCATTTAGGCTGCAGGTTTGAAGTGTCTCTTCTCAACATGAAGTCCGTTTATAGGCAAATGAAAATGCAGCTGATGCTAAATTAAGCACTGATGATTTGATATTGTATTTGTTTAGAAAAGGTTATTCACAGCTACCAAAAAGTGTTGCTAAACTTTAGGTTGCACTTTTTTAATGTATGATTTATTTGTTAAATTTTCAGCATTGAACATGGAGAAATTGATACAATTCCCAGATACATAACCGAATAATAACGGAAAACATACGCACACAATTAAAAAAAGAAAACGTACCGTGTGCTACTTACATACGACATAAAAAAACGCAGGTGCAACATACACTATAGATGCAATATAGTACGATACAGAGAGTCACTCAGCCCATGGGGACATCATCCAGTTTAAGAGACCCAACGTGCTCCAAGAATGGAAGCCAAATCTTAGAGAATTTTACTTTATGTCATTTGTCTCTACAGCTGGTCCAGTGTACTAGATGCTACAGGCATCGAATGATGTTAATGTCTTGCATGTTTACACAGTAACATGCTAAGTGTACTGCTGCAGTAAATCGTACATACCACATATTCAGTGTTAACGTGCATCTTTATTATTTATCAGGCATTGTAACATGAGGTTAACCTGCTCACAGCACAGCTAAACCTAATGTGGTTTCAGTTACAGTTCAAATCAGCGAGTGGCACTAAGTACTGAGAAGCTTATACTTTGAAAGATATGTCTGATTTTGTGTTAAACAATGCAGAAGTGAAGACGAAGTGTGGATATGTCACATTAATAAAAGCAAACAATGTAACTCCCAAATTTAATTCTTACCTAGCAACTCTGTTGTTTCCCCCTAAATTACCAACCTTGGGTAACATCACAACAGACTGTAGCTTGACAGTAGATACAGTAACCACTCATTAATTGTCGGTACAACTGGAAGCTGCCATCTTGATATGTGTGATGGCAGGTGGTGATTATGCACACCAGTATGTTGCATCCCCATAATATGACAGAGGCTGAATACTGCTGAGGCTGAACCAAATCTGACAGTATATTCTTAAACTATCTCCTAAATGGTTTGAACCTTTATGTAAATAAAGGCTTTATCTTTAAATAGGGTTCCTTTTTGCTTTTTTGCACCTTAATGTTCTCCTAACTAGCCCTGTGATAGGCTGGGGACCTGTCCAGGGTGGACCCCGCCTCTCTCCCAGGGCCAGCTGGGATTGGCTCCAGCCTCCTCTGCGACCCTATTCAGGAATAAGTGGTGTAGGTAATGGATGGATGTTCTCCTAACTTTCCATCAAACCTTGATGGAAAGTATTCCATCTGTGAAGTATTCCAGGATGGTGCGGACACACACACACACAAGCAGGATCCTTGTTGATTTGCTGTGGCCATGGCTCACCTGCCAAGCACCTGCCACAAAAACCAGCCCCAGAATCCTGCAGCAAGAATCCAATTCATTATCCTCATTCAGTGTGTGAATAAGATTCATTCATGCACACACAGACACACTTGGTGTTGGATTACTGCTGATAGTCACTGACTGCAGGTGAGGAAAAGTCTTCTCTGCAACAGCTCTGAAAATGCTTTTTATTTGAAAAAAGACAAAATGGTTTTATATAATTTAGAAATGCCAAGAAATGACTTTTATCAGATTTTTGTGACAGTGAAACAAAGAGTCTCAAACTAAAATGAAATTTTCTTTTCCTGTAGTCGACCAGTTGTCGTTTCTTCCAAAGTGAAGCAGTTACATTTCCAGATCAATGTTGCACTATTGTGAGCAGTTTTATTTTATTTATTTGTGGGGATGACATTTTATGCCATTATTGGACAGAGGTAGAAGAGAAATGTTAGGAAATTAGCAGGGCAAGAGAAATGGTGAATGACATACAAGATAGTTTTTGAGAGACTGGTATTGGCCCATCACAGACCCCCAACTGGACCCCCTGCAGTTTGCTTACCAAACAAATAGGTCAGTGGATGATGCAGTCAACATGACACTGCATTACATCCTGCAGCACCTTGACTCACCACGGACCTAGCTCACTGTGCCTGCCCCCACCTGTCAGTGGATCACCGGCCTTCTGACGGACAGGAAGCAGCAGGTGAGACTGGGAAAACCACATCCAGCACCCGGTCTGTCAGCACAGGTGCCCCCCAGGGATGTGTGCTCTCCCTGCTGTTGTTCCCCCTCTATACCAATGACTGCACCTCAGGAGACCCTTCTGTAAAAATCATGAAGTTTGCAGACGACACAGTGGTCATTCGCCTTGTTCAAGACAGTGAAGAGTCGGCCTACAGAGGAGAGGCTGAACAGCTGGCCCTGTGGTGTGGTCATAACAATCTAGAGCTGAACACATGGAAGACAGTGGAGATGATAGTGAATTTTAGGAGGAGCTCCCCCACCCTATCTCTGCTCACTATACTCAGCAGCACTGTTTCAGTCGTGGAGTCCTACAACTTCCTGGGCTCCAACATCTCTCGAGACTTGAAGTGGACATCCAACATCAGCGCCGTCATTAAAGAGGTACAGCAGAGGATGTACTTCCTGTGTCAGCTCAGGAAGTTCGACCTGCCCCAGGAGCTGTTGATACTGTTCTATAGGGGAATCATTGAGTCTGTTCTCTGCTCATCCATCACTGTCTGGTTTGGCTCAGCAACCAAACAGGACAAGTACAGACTTCAAATTTGGCAAATTCCTTGTATTTTTGATAATACTTGGCAATAAGGTTTATGCTTATGCTTAGTTAGGAAGTGGAACAGGAACATGTTAAAAGCTCAGTTTCACCAGTGACTTCACCTGTTGCTCCCCAAAGTGCCCCTCAGTTCTTCCCACGCGCCTGTAACCTCTGTAAAGCCTCATCCTCAGCATCGCCCCTTTTACTTTGTCTCCTTCCTCCTTTCCTTTTTCATTTTCACTCTCTGATCTTAAACACCAGGCGGCTGTGCAGGTGTGCATGTGCGTGTTTGTCTGTGTGGCTTCTGAGAGATAAAAATACACCATTTCATTCCCTCAATAATGGATGGGCTTTGATGGAGGGCATATGCCAGAGTCAGATGAGAGGCTTCAAGATTTTGTACATGCACACAGACACACACACACACACACACACACACACACACACATATCTAGTCTGTGAGTCAGAGACAGGTTGGAGACAGACTGCACGGATGGACGTCAGACATATTCCTAATCCTGTTTGAGGTTTTATGTTTCATGGTTTCAGTTAGATAATCCCATAGATTAAAACCAGGCTGTAGATCATAAAACACTTTGGGTTTTTTTTTCTTTAAACCAGCCGATCCAGGCCCGACTATCATGTCACACAATACGTTATTTCCCGTGAGAGTTCACAGTAGCCTTTTGGACCCTGTGTTTCCAAAATGTCACAATAGGACAAGAACAGTGTGCACTAGCAAAACACAGAAATGGTTTGAATGGGGTTTTGGATATACTGTGCCTCGGCCATATTAGGTGCTGTGTTGTGCCTGTGGCTGGTCTCTGACCTCTGTGCTCATTTCACTTTTTTAAATTCCAGAATCCTTACTGGCACAACATGATCACTTTTGTTTCAAAACCTTCACAAAGACTTCACAGTCACATGAGCATGTAAACAAGCAAACACATGAACAGAGACCATTAATGGTAATAATGTAGGAGCATCATGATGTGGAGTCGGCTTGTGTTCATCTGGCAAGAAGCTACAGCCACTTACACGCACACACGCGCGCGCGCACACGCACACACACACACACACACACACACACACACACACACTTTCCACCCAGTTTCTCTCGCCCACCCCCTCCTCTCCATCATCCCTGCTGTGAAGTGTCATCTGAGATGACTGACAGCCAAACTGAGGCGATATGAATGCGAATGGCACTGTGAATATATAAATATGCAGATGAGGAAGGGGAGACAGATTGGCTGCTGTCTTCTCTTTAAGACAGATCTGTCAGAAACTGATGGGTGTCATGCTTCACTCTTGCTATTGTAGCACAGGACTGGCCCACCTACTGACCTGTATTGTGTCAGACTAGACCAGAGTGACGCACTACACTATGTGAATAAAATCAGAAGACAAACACGGACCCAATTTAGTTTACGTGCTGTTAACATGAGGTGAATGCTAATGACATCATTTAATATGTAAATATGATATTCTGGCAAATGGCAGTAACAGCCTCCAAGATAAGAAATGCAACCAGTCTGGCATGCAGAGCTCATAACTAGTCAAATTTAAAGCAGTGTTTATCGTTCTTAATAACTACTGCAACTTATTTTTATTATTTGTTACTACTACTCTTTCTACTGCTGGTATATTTCCAAATAGAGGAAGAATGGTAATGAGGAGATGCTGGGATGAGACATTGTGCAGTGGGGACATTTAAAAGTGGGTAAACCATGAACAGTGTCTTAGAGGAACACTTATAGTAGCTGGTAAAGCAGCAACACAGAAATTCATAAATGTACAGATCATTAAATAGTACAATTCAGACACTATGTTGAATCCATAGTGTGTTTGAAAAGGTCAAAGAGAAAAGCAGGAAGTTGGAATAGTCATAGAAATAAATCTCCTGGTATTTTGGCATTAACACAACTGGACTAATGTCAGCTTACAGTAGCACCACGTCTATCACTGCCTCATTCGAATCTCCTTGGCATTCACGTTTCTAATGCACTCAGTAAACACATGATCAAAAAAGTCTGGCAAACACTTTGACAGCTTCTTTATAAATCCAGAGTGAGACAACACCTCCTGTATCATCTATAACAGCCTGGAACAAGTACAGTCAAAACCACAAACAACTCTTTGTTACCGATGACTACATATTAGTGTTATTTTATCATTTTATGACAAGTTGATGCTGCTTACTCCGCAGATATATTCTGTTGTGACTTTTGTCATTACCTCTGTGTAGCTGCAGCTGTTCTTGTACCTGTCACACACCTTGTAAATTGGTTACCAGTGGTTACCAGGAGCAAGCCACCATTTTAATTGAATGAAAATCATATATAGTAATGTTGCCACCTCTGTCTCGGTGACAACAGCTTTTAGCACCTCTAGGCTGATACTGTAAATACTGTATGTTGAATCCCACTACACTGTTTTTTTTTAGGTAGAAGCAACGGTTCAGACCACAAATTGGGCCTTGTATTCCCTTTTTTTTTTTTTTTTTTAAAGCTGCTCTACCTAAAGTTTTTTCACCGTAGAGGGTCTAGTGAGACTCAAAACAAACTGGTCCCATAAGCCGCTCCTAACCGCATTTTGAACCTCCCATCACGTACTGTTTCCTTGCTCAAGGGGGATTTTTGGAGTTTTTCCTCTATAATAATAATAAGGTCTAGACCTTACTTTGTAAAGTGTCCTGAGGCGACTTTTGTTGTGATTTGGTGCTATACAAATAAAATTGAACTGAATTCAATGATGTAAACTCCGGACGCCTAGTTGAGGTAGACTGTACAAAGTGTAGCCTGCAGTCCAAAGCTAGCACTAGCTAACAAGTAGATTTGCCAAAAGCTTGTCTCCTTCTCCTACAACTCTAATATATGAATGCCACTTTTGGCTTTTTCCCCATTAGGGGCCACCACAGCCAATCTGCATGTTGACATTTAGCACATGTTTTACACTGGATGCCCTTCCTGACACAACCGTGACACAAAACCGGGCCACAGTGGCAAGAGCGCTGCGCCCTAACCACTAGTCTATCAGGGAACCATTAATCATTTTTTTAAAAATCTTTCGCAATAGACCACTTTGTAATTTTGATACCATTTACTCTGGGACATGTCTGTATTTCTACAGTGAGATCAGCCACCTTGAGTCAGGTCTTGTGGTGGAGCTGTGGAACAAAGGCTTGATCTGGGACACTATGATCGGCACAGCACTGATACCCCTGGACACCATTCGACAGTCTGATGAGGTAACACACTTCCAACAGAAACACCGCCTCATCAGAAGGAGATTTTTGAACATTATTGTTTTTAGGTACCACTGGGTGTGACAAAATAGCCTTAACCTAAGGTCCACATGCTTTTTCAGCTCATTTGTCTCACAGTCTTCATCAGCAAACCGTCTTAACGGACAGGTTCACGTTTCCCAGGTCCATCTCACAGCAATGCTCACATGAACACTGAAGCAGGTTTTCTTGCTATAATTGTTCCTCCTCCTCTTCTTCTGAGTGCATTTCCAGTGGAAGACATGCAGGACAAAATTCCAAACTCCATACATTCCAGAATTCCACAGAAACATATATTCCAAAGTTTATTTTCACTTTTCATTTTATTGCAATTATTATACCTTAGCAACAGGAAGTAGAGAGGAAGAGGCCTGGGGCATCATCTCCCGCCTTGCCAGCCCTTCACAACTGGCTGATGTTTGTTCTCATGGAGAAATGTTACGATACAATGAATCATATTATTTAGACAGCACTGTACTGTGTGTGCTGCTTAGCTGCCTGCTCATTAAAACACCATTTTACCTGTCAGCTAAGTTTTGAGAGCACTCTCACAGGTTGCTAGTTCACTTCAGCATGCTGCAGGCAGACCTGTCATTACATGTTCTTGAGTGTAAAGTGAAGCAGCAGTGAGTGTGTAGTCATTAATAATGCAGCCCCCAGTGTCTTTACTTCCCCACTAAGTTTGAAACACAGTAAGCACTCACCTCTGTTCTGTCATAGTCTGAACGGCCCCTGTTATTCCTGTCATCTTTATCCTTTAATTTTCCTCAGGTTTATTGAATGTTACTCCTCCTCGGCCCACTGACCACACTGACTCGTTGATTCATCTTTACTATGTTTGTTTTCCCTTCCTTCCCTCTTCACCTCTTTGTTGTCTGTTTCTTCTCTTTGCATTGTGTCCGTCTTCAGGAGGGACCAGGAGAGTGGACGTCTCTGGACTCTGAGGTGTTAATGAGAGAGGATGAGATCTGTGGTACCACCAACCCCACTCCACACCAAGTGCTGCTCGACACCCGCTTTGAGCTACCCTTTGGTATGCACAAGCACACACACACTCATAAAATCGCATACAGTCAGATAAGCACAGAACCAGAACTCTACGTTAGCATGAGGAGCATCATCATTCTGATGTTCTCATCTGGTTTCTCTTGTCTTTATTGACAGTATACTGTAAATCCATGGTACTGTATCTCTATGAACACACCATAAGAACCAAAGAAGAAAAACAAAATATAAACCTCTGATATCTTGAGTGATAAACCTTAGACTGACGATGAACACATATGTGCACTCCAAAGCTTTGTAGAAGTATGAATAACAGGTATAGTGTCACTCAATATCAAACACATACAGTGCCTTTATCAGCCAGGTGCTAAACACAGAGACACACTTTTAATGTGGGGACATTCTCTTGCTCTTTTATTGTGCCTTTACACATAATAACAGAACTAAAGGCACAAATAATAACAAGAAGAAACGAGATAACAAATTCCCTGAGTATACAAAATAAATTCAAAGTCACTAACAGATATCTCTGCAGGTGTTGGAATATATGATTTTTACAAAATTATTAGACCCCAACCACAATACAGGATATGTGTCGTATCTAATCATTTTTTCTTGTTCAGTTGTTAGTTGTTGGACTCACTCCATCAGACAGTTTTCTTCTGCTCACAGCTGACTAACGTTCCGCTGCCATAGATTATGTTTATGGGCTTTCTTAAACTGAATAAATAAATTAGAGCTTGTGGAAGCACCATTAGGATTCATGAAGTTTTTATGGAGCATTTCTTCCTGGCATCTTTTACTCCTCAGTGTTCCGCACGCTCTTTACTTTTATTTCTTGCTGGTTGTGTTTCTGTAGTGTAAGCGCCTAAATAGCAACATTTCTTTTAATCACTTTGTTTCCTCAGCGAACTATTAAGCTCCCAGTGCTGCCTTTGCCTTTCCCCTTGCACCGCCTGGCACTTTATTTATCAAAACTCACTTCATGTCCAGATGGCACAGGTTCGTGCTGCTGCCCTTTCATTTAGACACAAAAACCAGGGCCTGAAGATAGAGATAAGATAGCAGTTTGCCTGGTTTAGGAAACTTTGACACATTCTTTTAAAAAGTCAAAGTAATTGACCTCCAGTTAACAACACAGGGACCAATCAATGAGGGGTTACAGACAGGTGACAAATGAAAGGAAAATCCAACATAAACTGTCTTAGTAAGGTGTTGGGCCTGCTCATTCTATTTCTGGGATGCCAAGAGGAAACCTCCTCATCAGCTATTTAACACACATGAATATAAGATGGGAGCACATCGGGCAGTGAGGATGGGGTAGGGAGCACAGAGACGGGGCGACTGGAGCTACAGTGGCCAGGCTCTTCCATTTCTCCGTGCTTTGCCTCACATCGATCTCTGCCTCTTCCTCAATTATTAACCTCCTCTCTTTGCCTCAGTCCTACCTTTCATCCCTCCATCCCACGTGTCTGTATTTTCCCACTCACTTTCAACACAACCCTTGTCTTTTCTTGTCACTATTTAAATTTTCTGTCTTTCAATCCATACGTCCAGATATTCCAGACGACGAGGCTCAGTACTGGACCAGTAAACTGGAGCGGATCAACACCATGCGGATACACGATGAGGTAAGTTTATTAAAAGTTTCTATTTCCTGTTAATAAGTTAGAGATATTAAATCACAGTTTGTTCAGGAGTCTGAAAGGGGATGTTAGCGGTCAGCAAACTGAGAAATCCCGACTAGGACACATTTTCACCATGAAAGTAGGTGGTTGGTGAAGAACACATGAAGTGCTAATATAAAGTGGTAACTTGAAGCTAAGTTTAACGAGCAATACAAGATAAGTTTTTGTATTTAAAAAACTAATATAAGTAATAATTCTTCTGCCATGTATTTACTGTATCTTGCACCCATCAACACTGCAGAAAGCCATGGAAGAATAGAAGCAGAAGTCAAAGTAAATTTTATGGGAGCAACAAAATAATCTGAAATATCTAAAGTTTAGTTCTCATTTAAACCTGCTTATACATTTTGTCTTGCACAACAGTGCTGTTTACAGTGTTGCTATTACATTTTATCCACAGACTGAGGCCGTGTGCTTTTGCAGGCTCTCCCCACATGCATTTAGTTTTACCAGATACTGTCACTGTGCACTACTATACCCTACTTTCTCAGTGCTGTTGCCTTTATGTTGCTCTCTGCTGCCACCTAATGTGAAGCAATGGTTATTACAGCACAGATGATTCATAAATACTGCACTTGAGATGCACCATATTACCATTAAATCATTTTCATTCACAGATTATTTGTATTTTCTCTTTTTCTTCTTCTTATTTGTTTCCATTTTTTGCTCATGTCAAGTATGCACTGCGGGAAGAGGTCCAGAGAAGACGAATGTCATCTGCGCCCTCTCAGTGCTGTAAGTATTACAGTAAAGACTTGGTACAGCATTTCCATGCCATACCATTGTCATTTTACGGGCATTAGTGTTAGTGGGTACTTTGTTCACTAATGTCATTCCATGGCTCTACTTTTGGACCAAAATATTCTTTTTCCCTTCTCCTACTTCGTTTGTTGAGCAGGGGAAGAAATTTCACATTAGCATCAGAGAAATATTGATACATTATGACTGGTTCATTTAAACCTTTGTCAGTGTCAGCTTATTGTAAAAAAATAATTTGGAGCTTCCACTTGTTTCAAGCACACTGTTTGCACACAGAAGAGGATCTTTGGCTACACCAGCTCATGGAAATGAAGAGCAGTGGTCACTGCCCTGAACCCTGACATTACCTTTGTGAAACTAATTTTCCTTGCAGCCGTTTTGTTGTTTGATCACTCACTGTATGTCAGATTGATCTGGTCATCACACATCACTAAATTCTCATTCATCTCTCACTGGTATGACCATTCACCATTCCCTTCAAACTTCACAGATGTGGGTGTGTTCCATTACATGTTCCATACTCATTTGCCCACCACCAGCTACAGTTACTGGTTTGATTCTTCAGTAATGAAGATTTTTTTCCTGGCATCTTTGAACACTTGCTTCCGTGACATCAGGCGGCTGGAGTTATTTGGGATGGAGTGACCAGCAGAGTACGTATATGGTTGTTTTTTACCCTGTGAATTTTCATTTTGTCGATTTCTGCTTTTACCTTTCTTTTAAAATAAAGACAACTGCATGTGTGGTCTGTATGGGTGGCTTTGTTTGTCCTCACTGTAAGAGACATTTCACTGCCTTATATCCTCCTTCAAAGTATGAAGTGTGTTTTATGTTATATGTGGCATTTGAAGTTTGTTTCTTCTAAACAATTTTCTCGTTATTCCTATCATTGTCAGCTTGAGGTTTGTGATCTTTGTATTATACACCTGCTTCCACCTGATGGAGCTATTTCTTTAACAATGCTTTATTATCTTTGAATCCTGACAGTGTCCTAGCATTCAGCTTCTCAGAGTAAACCTCTGAATAGTTGTTTATCATAATGGCTCCCATGTGACTTTTGTCAAGTCGTGCCTTCTGTTTTTTGCCTGCTACATTTAATTTAAGGCTCCCTTCTCAAGAAGAGTTGTTTAGTACATGCATACTAGTTTGCTCTAGCACATTTGGCTCTGCTGTGTGTGACATGTTTTCTGCACAAAAGGAGGGTGGAAACAGAATAACATGCATAAAAAGAGGATTTCTCACCATCTCAGTTGTTCTAGAAGGTGGCTATTCTATCACATAGACATGAATAAGAACACTATGTGAAAATCTACCAGAGCTCTCAGAGTTTATTTGTCCTGTGTTTTGAAAGTTACATATTAATTGATTCTAGAAATAATCTTTTCTTGTTCTTGTACATTTTACTGAAGGGCTTGTGTTGTCTTTCACTCAGCTTTTGATGACCATGATAGTGCAATGGATGATCGTGACAGTGACTACCGCAGTGAGACTGGCAACAGACCTCCACGGTTCCACAACACATCCCAGACAAATTCGTCAGTGCACCAATATCCTATAGGACGCAGGGTCCAACACCAAACCTTGTCCAGAGAGTCTGACTCTATACGAAGCTATGAGCTAGACTATAAAGAAATGAGGGGACCCAGGTGAGCACACTCACAGATGCACATAAGTTACCATGCAACTTTCTGACCTTGTCACTTAACTATCACTTGTGAATAATATTCCCATGGTAAATATGCATTATGCCACTGTGTCCGTGGCCCACCAGGGGGCACACTGAGGCTCACTGGTTGAGAATAGTTGGTTTGAAACACATTTCAGATAAATACTAGCAGTGTTATTAAAAAGGCCCAGTTTGAAATCATAAGAGCAACATCGCCAGCACATACAACACCTGTAGCATTGATGTATCAATTAATTAGTAATTATTTCTGTTGTTGATATTAAATGAGGTGTCTAATTAACACAGATAATCTGCTTGTCACAGCTGACAAGTTGTCAGATGTAGATGCATTAATGATCTACTGTAAACGCTGTAAAATAGTTAGCATACGAAGCACCTGCAACTTACTTTCACTAGGTTATTCATATGCATGAGCAACAGCATGAAATTGTGAATCTTTGCACACACATAAAAAAAAAACTCCTTCCACATTTTAGCTTTTTTCATTTGCTATTTTTTTTTCTTTACTTGCATGTTTTTAAATTCATGTCTAATGAGTCGTTTCTCTTTTTTTTTCCTTTGGATTGTTTTCCACTGCTTCCTGCATGGCACTTTTATTTTTTTTTAATCCAGGCGATCAAATAGTAAGGGTGGATTAAGAATAACCCCTGTTGACTCAGGTATGGGTGTCGATGACTGGGAGAGTAAGTACAGAGCACCTGACTCAGGTGTTCTGGATGACTACTTGGACACTGAACAGAAAATGTGGGAGAAGGTGGATAAAAACATCATCTGCCGGATCAGTGACTACCCTTGTGAGCTCGAAGGCAGCAGGTTCTACCAAACAGTAGAATGTGATACACTGTCCCCTGAGGATACAGAGTGGGATGGCAGGGCATATAGACAGAGGCATGGCTTTGGCAGCGGAGAAATAAGGTTGGTTTATAAGGAAGCCAGAAGCTTTGAGGATGAATCTTCCCCTCCAGAAATTTATATAATTCCCTCTGTCAAACAGCTACGACAGACAGACGGAGAAGGTCTACTTCACAAAGCCAGACTGTGGGCTAAAACTGCCTTAGAAGACACACTTGAGAGCTACGCAGCTTTTTGTGAGGAGGAGGCTGCGTGGAAAGAGGCTGCAATGATCAGGGGGAGGAGTGAATATGGCTCAGTTTGTTCAGATGAAATACAGTATTCTTTTGGATCTGAAGAGGAGCTAGATGACCTGACATTAACTGAGGGGGATGCTAGTTATGAATATGAAAGTTACTACTACCCTGGCAAGTATATGGCATCGTTTGGAGAACAAAGGAAAGGGAGAACAGGTTGTGGACAAGATCCTATGGCTCCTGTAGAGGAGTCAAATGATGAATATATCGATCCAATGGATGAACTGCAGAGCTTAGTAAATTCAGTGTCTGAATATCTGGCTGTAAAAGAGAAGGAGATCAACAGCTATGAATCAGTGCCTAAACCAATAAGAAGAAAACTTCCAGCACTGCCAACCAATCCCAAATTTGTGCAGTCTGGGGACACTAATAGGAATGAAGTCAAACCTGAAGTTAAGGATGACAGTGCTGCTGAACAGGGTGTAGCAGGAGTAAAGCATGCCATGAGCTCATTGTTCAGTACAATAAGTGGATCAAAGTCTACTGCTGATATAGAAGCCTCCAACACAACTCCATCACCCCAACCACCACAGGCAGACTCTGGTTTGTCAAAATTGCTATTTTTGACGCCTAAAGCCAGTATTGAGCCCGCAGAAACCTCTGGTTCCACTGCAGCGGGTCTATCTACCTTGCAAGCATCACCCCAACCTGACTCTGGCATTTCAAAGCTGTTGTCTTTTATTCCCAAAAGCGGTGGTACTTCCCCTCCAGTAGCCATAGTTCCTCCTGCCTCTCAGGAGCCCACAACAGGAAAGAAGTTTTCCCTTCGGTCTATTTTTCAATCGTATGAAACCAGTCAGAAAGCATCACATGATAACACAGAGACACAAGGCAGTACAACCACTGCTAACCAGTCCACCTCTGGGTTTGATTCCATGTTAGAAAAACTTAGTCCTTTCAAAATCTTTTCCAGTGGACCAACATCTAGGGAGCCATCACCTCAGCCATCAGAGCAAAGAAGTGCATCTACCACAAGCAATGAATCCCAGCAAGAATCTGTAAACAGAAACATGAGTTCTAGTAGACAGGGCTCACAAACAGAGCGACAGTTGTCAGGTTCAAGAAGTGGATCAGTTGATCATTTGCCAGACACAGGAAGTGGGTCAGTAGAACTTCTACCAGAGACAGAATCATCTGGTGAGCTACTTGATATTCAGCAAAGAAAAACTGAAATATCTGAACCAAAACCTGAAAGTATTTCAGAGGAAACTGGATTCTTTAGTCCTTTTAAGAAATCTCTTTCTACCCTCATATCAACAGTTCCTCCTGAAAATTCCTCACAGACTGACCCCAAACCCATGGAGGAGTCATTTATAGGCAGCAAAATGAAAAATCAATTTTTGTCCTCTGAAAATATTTCCTCAACAATTCCACCAAAAGCAGAAGGAGACATGCTCTCAGGGTTTCTTAACTTTGCATTTGGTGAACATGCCCATGCCCGACCAAAAAGCCCTACCCCTCCTGTAAGAACCCCATCCCCAAGTCGTGCTGCACTTCTTGAATGTGCACCAAAAGGAAACACGGAAACTGGCTGGTTTTCAAACTTGTTTAAGGTAGCTCCAAATGAACCCACTAGGGATCCTGAAAGGCCACATATAACTCCCACTGTGACGCTGTTGAAACCTGATATTCACCCCGAGTCACAAACAGAACAAATGGGGATTTTGTTGAAACTCACAGAAACTGCTACCCAGCCACAGGGAGGAGGACTGTTGGCTACACAATTTACGCAATCAAATCAGCAATCAGGTAACATGTTGTCAGGACTTTTTAACAAGATTGTGGAACCTAATTGTATTCCATCTCAAATGCAATCAGAGCCTGGTGCTGAAGAGACTAACCAAAAACCAGCACAGCAAAACTCTGCTCCTGTAAGTTCAGCCCAGCTCTCACAAAACAAGCAACAGAGCAGTTCACTGGGGCAGCAACATAATCAGCAACCAGGCAATAGACAAAACCTACAACAGCAAAACCAAGTCTCTTCACAACAGCCCCTCAATGGGACTGGAGAGATGCTCACTAGATTCTTAAACAAATTAGCAGATACAAGCACCTCACAATCTACATCAGGGAGTCAACTAGAGCAGCAACAGACACAAGAAGCAGGCTCTAATACAACCCAGCAGCAACCTAATCAACAGGGAGACTTTCTCTCTGGGCTATTTTCAACAGGTCCTACTCCTTCAGCACAGCAGCAGCCAGTTGGTTGTCATCCAACCCAGAATCAACCCCAACAAAGTAACAGACAACCTCTGCAGAGGCAAAACCAGATACCTCCGCAACCTGCTGCCTCTGCACCAGAGCCACAGCAGGGTGGACTATGGTCAGGGCTTTTTAATAAATTAATATTTTCTGATAATGCACCACAACAGCCCAGCCCACAGAGTGATTCTCAACAGTACAATAAATCTAGCATTGTTGGACCTAGTCAGTCTCCAGGTCAACTGTCATCTCAACCCAGTGAGCAAAGTGGATTTTTGTCTGGTTTGTTTGGTCAGATGTCACCCCAACAACAACAACCTGGCAAGAAGGCAAGTTCTCATCATACAGCTACCCAACAGCCTAGTCAAAGTGGAGGCTTGCTTTCAGGTATTCTGAAGCTTGCAGCTGGCAAAAACATACCACAGGAACAACAGTCACCTCAGCCTGCTCGTCCAGGTCAACTATCTGTTAAGTCAGGGCAGAGTCCAAACCAATCTGGAACAGGGATGTCATTCTCTGGTCTGTTAACCAAAGTTTCAGGTACTGTGGAACAGTCATCGCCTGCTAATCACGAGAACCTTCAGACAATACAGCAACAACAGCAGCCATGTGCAGGACAGGGGCGACCACAGATTCAGAGAACCAAAGCAGTAGTAATGAATTCCTCTCAAGATGTGGCCACAGATAAGGATTCAAAAGGTCTAGCTCGAAAAGGATTCCCCTCAGGTCTTTTTAGTGTCACAGAGGATCCACCATCAAAGACGCAGCAGCCATCTATCTCTCAGCCTGGGAAGGAGGAGCCAAAAACCATTGTGAGTAGTACATCTTCTCACTTCTTATCCAGCATTTTCAAGACAGGCTCCAGTGACAGTAACACTTCTACTCCAGGAAAGGAATGCGAAAAAGGCCATTTTGACTATTTACTACCAAAAAGAAAGAAGGATATCCATTTAAAAGCAGCAACACCCATAACTACTGCTGTTGCAGCTAGTCCACTTGTTGATACCAGTAAAGAACCGCTGCAATCTCAGATTTGGCAAGAACCTACAGTTTCCCAAACTCAGCGTTATCTTGATGAAATTCATCGTCTCTTGTATGGGACAACAGATGAGTATGGTTACAAGGATCTTTTATACAACTTTACAGAGCACGGTGTTATTCCACCAGAGCTCTATGAGCATCAGTGTCTCATAGAAGCTCTTCTGTGGCAGCAACTGAATGATTATGCTCTTGCTGAAGCCCTTGCCACTCAGGGTCAGGAATGCTACCAAGCATGCCAAGTGAATATACCACCCACAGTTATTTCACCTCAACAGGAGAATCGCATATGTTTAAATCCTAAAGAAATGAACATCAGTGACTTCAATGTGCCCTCACATCCTTGGAGAGATGCTGCCATCCAGCTTTTTGAGAGCAGAAATCATTTTCTTCAGCCAGATGAAGATCTTGTTTTGTTTGACATGAGTTACAGAGAAAAGAAACCCTGGAGTAGCTGTGACCATTTGAATGATCTTGATAGGAACAGGAAACTATGGATTGATGGAGGTAGTGTTCTAAATCTGTCCATGGATAAAAGAAGTAGCCCAAGGTTAAGTAGATGTCAGTCACT